TTAAAATTATTTATCCAATAACCATATAATTAGAAGAAGCACCTCATTACAACAGCACTGACACACTTAACAACAATTTCCAGAGCTAAGATGCATCTCTTTCAAAACTGGCTGCAAACCTTTAGGTCTACAGTTGAATCGGTACAGTTATACAATACTGCACTCCATATAAACCCTATAAGACATAAAATCAAATGAGGTTTCATACTTTAAAAAAGATCTCCACTTCATTATTAAAATACAGTTTCATACAGAAAAATTCATTTTTAATAAAATTGACACTAAGATGCACATGTGTTTCTAATATCTATATATCTGATTATTACTAGTCAGAGTTGGCCACTTTCTGAGCTCCTTATCTGTCTACGTCTGTATATGGGTATGTGCATGTGACTACAGTTGCCCACAGAGGCTAGAAGAGGGTATCAGATCCCCTTGATCTGGAGGTACAGATGGATGTGAGCCACCATGTGGATACCCAGAGCCAAATCCTGATCCCCTACAAGAGCAGTGAATGCTCTTAACCACTGAACAATCTCCCCAGTCCTACAGGATTTTGAAATAATGTGTAGGCTGGAGTGAGAAAGCCTTAGGTTTTTCCTTAGGTTCATTTCTGGGGGCTCATATTTCCTTTCAATAGTTACAGGAAAGAAGAGCCTTACCTTATTGCCACTTGCCAACAAGGAGGCACACTATCTTTTGTGAGTTTTCCTTAAGAAATGGATTTGGATCCCAACTCAGCTGCTTACTAGCTACAGGACCTAGAGCAAATTATTCTACTGATGATTTCCATAAAATGAAGATCTAATAGCACCCTCTCATAGGAGCATCAGAAAATGATCAAATGATGGCAACAGCTGCTGTGTAAGTATTTGCTGTTAGTTCTTCCTCCTCCACCTCTTCTTCTTCCTCCTCTTTCTCTACCTTATTTGTAGCTAAATTCATGAGAATTATGGAACATTTGAAATCTAGGCCTAGTTAAAACAGTGAGAAATGAGAAAAGATGCAATTTTTGACCAATGCCTTTTCTTTTATTTCTGGTGGCTCAATAAACTTCAACATGTAGAACTATATAGTAACTATAGAACTGGGGTTTTTAAAGGTTATATTGTCAATATTTGGTCTAATAATAAGTTGAGAATAAGAACATTCCTTTGTTAAATGGAATTAAAAGGAAGTAAGAAGTTAAACAGATGAGCAAAATTGAGATGGGCAAAACCTTTATATTCTGTAAGGAATAAATGATAGTCAACAGAAAGTCACAGTCTGAAATAGAGAGATCTAGGTTAAAGTTCCAATCCCTAAGCCTTCTGTTGTGCAAATAAGTGCGTTTTCAACTTTTTCTTCTCTAATATGTAGCAAACATACTTATTTTGGAAGACTGAAAACATTAAGTAGAATAAGATTTGAACTCATAAAACATCAGAAGAAAACGAGAAAATCTCTGTGACATTGGCCTTGATAATGATTCTTTCAGTATCAGATCAGAAGTTCAGATTATAGAAGTAAAAATAAATTGATGAGACTATATTGAACTTAAAACCTTCTTTATAGCAGAGGAAACAATCAATAAAATGAGAAAGCACACATGTTTGTCTCCAGGGTGACTGCAGATTCTGTCATGGCGACAGTCTATATAAACCATCATAGATGGCCATTATAAAAAAAAGACAAGCTATGACAATTGGGTATGAATGTAGAGGAATAAAGAACCGAGGTACACTATTGATGGGAATGTAGATTGGTTCAGCCATCATAAAAACATGTTCTTGGAGAAATTAAAAACAGGATTGCCATAGAATGCTGCATTCCTATTACACAGGTACTCAGGTAGCCACGATATGGAAACAACTTGTGTCTTTTGATGAAAAGATAAACAGATAAAGAAAATGTATTGTATATGCACAATGGAATATTATTCAGCATTAAAGAAACTTTACCATTTGCCATGAAATGAGTGAACATTATTGCTGAGGGAGAGAAGCCAGACACAGAAAGAAAGGAATATACATTATCTGCCATATAAATGGAATCTAAAAGGAAAAGGTCGACTATAGGGAGAGAGAATAAAACACGTCCTGTACCACGGACAGGTTGAGAGGGGGAAAATAAGGATATATAGGCCAAGTAAACAAAGTTGTAGACATGCAGGATGAAAATGTCTAGATATTTAATTTTAGGTGTGAGAACTAAGCCTAGTTAAATTATATTATAGTAAGAGTTTTTGTTTTAAAAAGCATATGCATTAATCTGCATCACTTCCATAACCATTTACTGTTGCTCTGCAGCCCATAGCATCACACTGCAGACCTCAAATGCATCTGATAAAATTTGTTGGAAAGAAGGATATGGATACGCATAGAAAATGGGAAAACAAATAGACAACTCAGTTGTAGCACATTAATGATGTGTTGCAATGGTCATTTTCATTTCTCTCCTTTATTTCCCTTCTTTCCATTCAGTGATAAATGATGCTCTGATTTGACAGTAAGTCTGAATTCAGCTTGTGTTACATCTTCACAGTGTTTTCTATGCTGGGTTGTGATTTACATAGGACATTCCCCCAGGGAGCTCTCTTTCCTTGCTAGTTTGGTCTGTTCAAACTTAGTTCAGGCCATCTTAACTATTAGGGGAACATGACTTGTATCTCAGATGAATTTCTAATGAATAACATATAATTCTACCCAGAATGGCATTGGCTGGAGGAATCTCTTCAGTCTTACCATACAGGCAAGTCATTATATGTATATTCTCAACAATAGCTACTTTGTAGTCTTTTTTGGAAGTAGATGAAGCATAAGTCATGAATTAAAATACTTTGATTGGGGCATGGTGGTGCATGCCTTTAATCCCAGCACTCAGGAGGTGGAGGCAGATGGATCTCTGTGAGTTCAAGGCCAGCCTGCTCTATATAGTGATTTCTAGGACAGCTGGGGCTACAGGGAGACCCTGTCTCAAAAAGTCCAAAAAAAATGAAAAAAACCCCAAAACTTTGACAGTGAAGCTGCTTCTGCATATAGCTTAGGGTATTCACTAATACACCCATAGCAGTGACTGGGGCAAATCAGATTACAGTTAGTAAACCTTGGTGCTTCCTTCCATTCTCTTCATCTGGTTTTTAGTTGGTTTCATATATTCTATAACAGAGGTCAGCAAATTATATTCCATAGGTCTGCTGTATGCATTAAAGTTAAATTCTAATGAAATATATGCTCACCCATTCATTGATGTCAATAGTACGTGGCTCTTTTGCACTTCAATTCCAGATTTGAGTAACTATGACAGAAACTACAATATGATACACGAAGATAACATTTACTATCTGACTTTCTGAAAGAAAACTTTACCAATTTCTAACCTAAAGAATTTGGTTTGTGTCTCTGTGTGTTTGTCAGGGTTCTCTGAAGGAACAGACTGGTAGAATTAATATATCTTTAAGAGAAGATTTATTAGATAGGCTGACATGATATAGTGTGGGTAGTCCTCCAATGACTGTCCTCACACTGGGAATTCTAAGAACCAGTAGCTTCTTAGTCCATGAGATAGGATGTCTAAGCAGTCCCAGTGTGGTTCTGAGCCACTGGTCTTCAGTCCATGTTGGAGGAAGCTGGGTTCTAATGTCAGAGAAGGATGGCAGTGGCAGTGAGATGCCAATGGGCAGATAAACTTGCCAGGACAATGTGAAGTTAAGCAGGAAAAAAGCAAAAGTTTTTTTCTTTTTTCAGACTTCTTTTTATCTGGGCTGTCAGCAACGATGCCACCCACATTCAGTATGGGCCTTTCCACTTCAATTAAACTGATCCAGAAAATTGCTCACAGATGTGCCCAACGGCTTGTCTCTTAGTTGACTCCAGATCCAGTCAAATTGACAACCAAGATCAACAATCACATTAATATATCTATGACTGGGTCCTATTTAGATGCAGCCTGGGGTATAGGTGTGAAGTTTCTAGAAGAGAACTGAGTAGGCCTGTAATAAAAATCTACTGAATTGAATATATACAAACCAGCACTAAAATTTAAGCTAGTAAATCTTAACATTACATGACATAACTTTTTGCTCTTCTCTGCTTATTTAACTATTGTTTAACCTGAACATAGAATGATTTATATTGCTGAAGAAAGGGCTAAAGTGGACATTGTCATGAATTCACTGGAATGAGAGAGAGATGAAAACATCACTGCTGGAGAGGACTGAGTTCTACCAAGTAAACCAGTGAATTCTGGTGGCGTTAGGCCACTCCAGAGCATTTCTCATGGATGGAAGTCCATTTCCAATTTTTCCTCTTAGTGGAACAATGAGCCATCCCTGTCCTTTGATTCAAATGTCCCATTGAGCTCGGGATTAGTGTGACTCTTCCTGGTCCCTTTCACAGAATATTGTCAAAGAAGTGGAAAAATTATTCAAGTTGAAAAATGTTAGCAACTGGCATAACTCAATTAAAGCACTGCTTTAGAGACAGCATACTTCTACAGCTTTATGAGTGACTTGACTTGTACAGAAGGAGCTCCAGCCTTTGTCCACAATGAAGCTCTACCTCGTAAGCACTGCATGTATGGCTCTGTCTGGCTGAACTCCAGACCCTCCCTGAGCCTGGGAATATGGAAACCAGTACCTGGCCAGAGCGAGCACAGACCACCCACTCATTTCACATAGTCCATTAAACAGCTGGTTATCATATGACGTTTGTATGACTCCTTCTGTTGACCTTGCTCTGAATGGCCATGTGACAGATTACTAATTATCTCTAAAGCTCTGCTATGTAAATGCTATTTAATTTCCACCTCCACTTTTGGAAGCCACTCTGCTGAGACAGAGTCACAGTAACAACCTTCAGGAGCTAGCTGATGCGTGTAGTACAGTGGGATGATCTTCTATCATCACTGTAAACATGACCACCAGGAAATGTTTATTTAAGTAAACAATAACAGCAAGAGAAATAAAGATAAAGAAGAAGAAAATGAAAATAAAATCGACCCTGCCTTTATTGTGGGGGTTGTACTGTGCTCTTATGCTTCAGTTTCATTTACCAATTGACACTATACTTGTTTCTTTGCCATATGGAAATAACAGCCACCATCTGGGGGTTTCATCATCTTACTCTGAGGCAAGGGTGTCTCTGAAGATTATGCTTTGCCTACTTGGCAAGCAAATCCTGCTTTAGCTTCAGTGATTAGGGAATGTGGGGAGTGGTTCTTCCCTCTGACTAGACCCCAAAGACTAGCTCAGAGAGACATTGGAATTACCATGAAAACCTTTCTCACTACAGTCCATAATTTACTTTCTGTTGCTATAATACACTCACTAGGATGTGGTGAGTAAGACTTTGTAAATCTCTAAATTTTATATGAAAAACCCATGCATTTCAGCTTACAAAACGCTAAAACCGTGATCATACTTGAACCTCTGGAACATAACTGGAACAGAACAGGTCAGACAGCAGTAGGTAATTGTGGTAGAGTAGGAGAAAAGTTAAGATATAGTTAGCTTTTATTTTGATTTAAACATATGATTTCAGCAGATGATTTTTCCCCCATAGTTAGTTATTTGTAGCCACAAGAAATAATGAACTATATGCACTTCTTAAATATGGCTGACTTTGAAGGACCCTGATTTTAAAGAACCAGGGTTTACTCGATTCTTCTAAGAATCAATGCTAAAATTAAGACAAATTATTGTTTATTGTTTTGCTGTGTTTTTAAATAAGACATTTGTGCATTTACTGTTTGTCTTTGAAATAGCTGGTTCATATTTACTTAAACCAGGGAGCAAACAAAATACATACTCAGTTTTACAAATGTGAAGGAAGATGTTACTTGATTAATTTCTTTAAACATTGATTTCACATCTTTCATATATCAAGTACTACACTAGATTTTAGAAATATAATGATGAGAAACAATAGATTCAGTTCCTACCGCACGAAGTTATAGAACTTCCAAATATAGGATGCACTGAGTTAAATTACAACAGATATAAACCCACATAAATAAAACAACTTTAAAAATAATTATAACACATATTCCACTTCTACCTTATCACTACAACTTTTCTATTAAAGTTATCACATTTTCTTTTAACTTCTTTTTTTTTGCAAATGTATTTCCTTTTATAATTTTTTTCAAACCCTTCCTGTGATGAGTTGTCATTCTTTCTCTCAATGTGATTTTCCAGTTTGCTCTTTGACTGTTCCTCTCACACTCAATGCTTTCATCAAACCCAGGACTTCTATTTCTGTAGATGCCTCATCTTTTCCTCTACTCTGTGCTCATCGGGGCTTTTTTTCCAGAAAGACTCTTTATCTAACATCTCCACTAGGAGAATCCCATTCGTGTTCCAAGATCTAGCTTTGATGCCATGTTGCTTTTCTGAACAACTAAGCACATTTTAATTCTATTTTGAGTGTGAGCAACAGCACTGGGAAAAATAGAATATTTTTATTTCTCTTCCTTTCTACTAGAAAATCTGCCAGAAAAGCAGGGACAATGTCTTACACCTGTTATTCATGTTCTATAAGGAAAAGGCACAAATATTTCTCAAAAACTTCCTTGAGTTAGGTGTTGTGTAAGATTCTTCAGAGAAATAGACATATTCCTTAATCTCGTGGGCTTTGAACAAATGGATATTATACACATGCTATTTGCAAGAAATAAAGTTAATTCCCAAACAGCTTTCACATTTGGTTTGCTTCCTGATCTTTTATGTAAATCGGAAGCTTCATGAATCACAGGGGAAAATTTTGCTTCAGGAGTTTGCATTTCATGATGGTGCCTGTTTAGGTGGTATCTGACTTCTTATGTACCCTGCATCAGGAAACATTTAGGTCACCAAGAGGTCAAAGTTAGGCAACACTTAAAGCTAGCAATTAATTGCATTTGTAAACTTTCCCACCTTAGAGTCAATCTTTTTTCTATTTTCTAGGCTTTCTTGCGTCTTTCTTCATCAGAGAGTAAAATGGCAAAACAGAAAAAGTAGTTTCTTTCGATGTTAGACATTAGTTTGTTATTATATACACTTGACTCAGTATTAACAGGAGAAGCCTGTAGTATGTCACATAAATAAATCCATATGTAAAATAAGAAAATAACACATTCTTTAGTCAGGGTTATGTAGTAACACGTGTGAAGTCTAAAACTGGGTTCTGTGGACCAGATTTAACCTGCTCTTTGTTTTGTAAATAAAGATTTATTGAGACAAAGAGCTATCTATTTAATATGTGTTACTTATCTTTCCTTCTGATTACATCAGCAGAGCTGAAGGGCTACAATTCAGACAGCAAGGCCCACAAAGCCTACAGGATTTTCAGTCTGATCTATTATAAACAAAGTTTGCTGATTTTGCTGAACCTCAGGTAAAATATGGTTTAGTAGTTGAAATATGCCCAGTATTTGTTAATTATCATTAATTATCATAATTATTATCTTTTTTGAGCAGATGTAATCTGGGTTGTGAGTGAAATGGAAAGGTACAGAAGACTATCAGAAGAGCACTGGATTTGGAACCTCAAACTGGAATTGAACTTGAGTCAAAGACTAAAGCATGATAGAAACCTCAAAAAAGTAAATTTGTTTTTCCTAATTGAAAACTTGCACTGGTTCAATGAGTTTTTTCCTTCCTCCTAGAAAGCACAGTGAGTCACCGTTGAAGTTATTAGTTCATCCTTGATAACAGTTGTCACTGGCAGAGACTATGAAAATATTCATCAGAGCATAGCACTGCCTTACGGAGCAGCTCTGCTTGCGTTGGTATTGATTTCAATTAAAACATGTTATCTGAATCACTGGGCTTCCTGTTGGCTTCACTCATTGTCCACTGATGCAAATGGAAAGTCTTTACCCAACCTGCAATATCTGGTTACTTGCAAGGCCCAGGCAGTGGAGGTATAAACAAATCCCCAGCGCCAATCAGTGGAGAAGGAAATGATCTTCGTTTGCCCTGCATGATGTCATCCATCTTGGGCCTGACAATTTTCCAACAATTATTGACTTTGAGGGCAGGAAAATCTTATGAATGCATCTTAATCCTTATTAAGACAGGTAGTCAAGCATAGTCCAAAACATTTGACTTGGTTTAATTCCTTGTGTACATATCCTCCCCCGCCCCCCATTATGTGAACCTCTGCAGAAAGAGTTTCTGAGTTTGCACAAAGCACTAGATGATGTTGCTCTGGTCTGTGTATTATTCCGGGTATGTTTACTGTTTGAATGGCTATTGCTCTGTTTTACCTAGTAGCCCAATCCAGGGATCAAACTCCTTAGGTTTTTTTTTTTTTAATTTTTAAATTTTTATTTTACTTTTATTTCATGTGTATGAGTGTATTGTCTGCATGTATGTGAGTGCACCCGTGTCTTGCAATGCTACGGAGGTCAGAGGAGGACTTCGGATTCCCCTGGAACTGGAGTTAAGGGCGGTTCATAGCCACCATGTGGGTGCTGGGAATTGAACCCAGGTCCTCTGCAAAAGCAGTCGGTGCTCTTAACCGCTGAGCCATCTCTCTAGCCCCCAAACTCCTTAGTTTTTAACAGAATGGTTCTACACTTTGTATCAGAACTGGTGCTTTTAGCATCAAATCTGACCCTGGTTACTCCAAAGGTACATGGCACAGGAGGCTAAATATGCAAAACATATTGTATTTCAGGTTTCTGTAAACTTACAGATTTGAACTCTTAGCTTTAAGGCTTGCATACTGAATCAAGAAGGTCACCTATCTAGGAAGTCTAGGCCACTGTGATGTAGACTGGCTGTCTGCTTTTCAAACTGTTTTCTGTGGGACACATGGACAGACTATATTTCCCAGCCTTCTTTGCAGGTAAATTCACCTTGTGCCTGAACTGTGATTGATGCATGTGAGGTGGAAGGGATACAAAGCTTTTCCCATCCACAAGACTTTCTCAAGCAAGACTCTATGCTTTTTTTCCCTATCCCACAGATATATGGACACGGAGAAGGATGAGATAAAGAAATAAAAATTTATCGTGTTAAGTCACTGAGACTATTTTGTTGTTGTGCTGAGGCTCAAACCCAAAGTCTAATGTATGCAAAGTAAGGCAAGCCCTCCATCACCGATCCATAGCTCAGTCCTTAGGCATTGGGATTGTTTGTTGCAATAGTTACTGCAGCTCATTTGATGTTTTTTATTCTTCTGTGTGTCACTGATACTTTATTTTTTAAAAATATTTTATTTATTATTTTTATTTTATGTGTATGAGTATATTGCCTGCATGTAAGTGCACTGGTGTCGTGCAATGCCTGCAGAGGTCAGAAGAGGGTATAAGATCCCCTGGAAATGGAGTTGCAGATGGTTGTTAGCCACCATGTGAGTGCTGGGGACAGAACCCCAGTCTTCTGCAAGAGCAATCAGTGCTTTTAACCAGTGAGCCAATTCTCCAGTCTTATTTCTTATTTATATGCATGTGTGTATGCCTGTAGGAGTTTATGTGCACCGCATATGTGTTGGTGCCCGTAGAGGCCAGAAGAAGGCATTGAATCTCCTGGAGCTAGAGTTATAGGCAGTTTCTGTGAGCTGTTCAATCTGGATGCAGATCTTCTGCAAGAACTATAAGTTTCCTTAACTGCTGAACGATCTCTCAGCCATCATTGCTAGTTTTTAACTCATTGTCTTCATAAATGAATTAGCTTTAATGATGCCATTCTTAGAAGTATTAAAGCACAGATATTAAACTATAAAAGTATTTGGAATTGTGAGGAGGTGTGGGCATATCCATTGAAGATGAAGATTCTCAAGTAGTTTTCACCCACATACCAATATCAGGGTAAAAATGAGATCTAAGCTTACTGTCTTAATTACATTTTTCCAGCATTACATTTTCTGCTTCTTAGAAAGCACTATCTTGCCTGGGTAGATCCACTACTATATATTTATTAAGCCAGTGTCTTAGTTTGTTCTTCATTGCTGTGACAAAATACTCTGACCACTACCAACTTGGGGGAGGAAAGGGTTTATTTAGCTTACAACTCTCAGGTCGCAGTTCATCAGGGAGCCCAAGGTAGGAACTCAGGGCAAGAACCTGGGTTGAGGGAGCCTCAGTTGGGGAATTGCCTCTATTGGACTGGCCTGTGGCCATGTCTGAGGGGCATCTTCTTGATGAGTGATGTGGGAGGACCCAGCCCACTGTGGGTGGTACCACCCCTGGGCAGGTGGGACTGTATTGCGTAAAAAAGCAGGCTGAGCAGGGACCAGGGTAACAAGCCAGTAAGCAGCGTTCCTCCATGGCCTATGCTCCAGCTCCTGCCTCCAGATTCCTGCCTTGAGTTCCTACTTTGGGCTCCCGGATGAACTGTGACCTGGGATATGAAAGATAAATAAACCATTTCCTCCCCAAGTTGGTGGTCAGAGTATTTTGTCACAGCAATGAAGAACAAACTAGGACAGCCAGTTTCCATATGACATAACGAACTTAACCATTTGGTAGAAAACGAAAAATAGTATTTGGGTTTTTCTGGGCTCAACACTTATATGAGAGGGGGAGCATTAATACAAGCTATAGTAAGTAATTTTGTGGACTAGAAATCTAGGTATTGTTGATTATATTGTCAGCTCACTTTCTTCTTTCTTCCTCACCCTTTGTCTCAGTCCTGTTTCTTTGTATTCATGAATGAAATATGAATGAAAGGTGACATTTCCAAGTAAAAGCTTTAATAGCCCAACATGGTTTTCTGTGCCACAGGTGTGCTCCAGAGAGAGACTGCATCTTTAATCTTCACTATGCTGGTAAGTGTTTGTCAACTTGACACAGACTGGAGTCATTGGGAAGAAAGAACCTTAATTGAGGAATTTTCTCCACCAGAATGGCCTGTGGTCATGTCTGTGAGGCATTTTCTTAATTGATAATTGATGTAGGAGCGCTCAGTCCACGGTGGGTGGTGGTGCTATTCCTAGGTAGGTGGGCCTGGCTGTATGTAGCTGAGCAAGCCACTGGAAGCAAGCCAATCAGTAGCATTCTTACCTCGTCTCTGCTTCAGTTCCTGCCTTGAGTTCCTGTCTTGGCTTCTTGCCTTGGTCTCCCTCAATGATGGTCTGTAACCTGTAAGCCAAATAAACCCATTACTCCCTAAGTTGACTTTGGCTATGGTGTCTATCACAGCAACAGAAAGCAAATTAGAACAGAAAATGGTACAAGAGAGTGGGTGCTGCTGTGATGGACCTAACCATGTAATTTTTATGCCTTGAACTGTTTAGTGGGAGGAAAGTGGAGGATTTTGGAGCTTTGGGCTGGAAAAGCCTTTGAGTGTTCAGAGCTTAATGAGCTGTTATGGAAGCCTGGAAGATAGGAATGCTGAGCAATGTAGATGATGGAGGCCTGGTTTGTGAAGTTTCAGATGGAAGCAAAGACTCTACCAGGGCCATTTGTGTAATATATTTGAATTAAGAACCTGTGGTTTCTAGTCAGTTGGGATTGAAGAATCATCTATGATTAACAAGAGACCAGCAGTACTGAAGTGAAACCTTTGCTTTACTAGGACAATCGATGCTGGTTAGCTGGAGCTGAAAAATCAGCTATGATTAATAAGAGACCAGTATCATTGAGGAGAAATCTTTTGGGAAGTATTTCCTTAGGCTCAGAAAGTTATGGTCCATAGGGGGCTAAGTCTGAATCTTAAGCTGGCAGCTGAACTAGGTAATGTGTAAGAATCTCCCATGTGTACTGATTTGGGTGACATGAAAGTTGCAGTATTGAAGGGGCCATGGAGAGCATCTGAGTCTTGGCACTGTGAAAGGCCAGGAGAATCCACTGGTGAAGGTGTGGCCACAGGTGAAGTGGAGATCCCAGCATACTGGAGATGCTAGGACTGTGGGAGGACCACCCAGGACAAGGAGTGGTGCTGACTTGAGCCTCCTAGACAAGTTGTGTGTGCTGTGGATGGCAGAGCCAGAGAAGTGGGATTGTTCAAACCCTTTGGAGCTCAGAAGATGCCGAGTTGAGACCCAGGTATTGAACATTGAGCCTTTAATACTGTTGGATTTTAATTTTGATTTGATCTGATTGTAACTGTGCCCTGGTTTTTCTCACTTGGAATAAGAAGTATGTAATTTACTTTTTATTTTATAGGGGGCCCACAATTGAGAGACTTTTAAAGACATATTGAACTTCTAAATTGTTGGAATTTTTAAAAAACAGTGAGACTTTTAAAAGTTAGACTGTGTTTTATATTGTGATATTAACATTAGCTGTTGGGACAAAAAATGAAAAATGGTTTGGCTTGTAGCGATGTGTGTCAAGTTGACAAAAGTCTGTTGTGTTGGTTGGTTTTTGTCAACTTGACACAAACTAGAGTCATATGGGAAGAGGGAGCCTCAATTGAGGAATTTCTTCCATTGGATTTGCCTGTGGTCATGTCTGTGGGGCATTTTATTAATTACTGATTTATGTAAGAGGGCCCAGTCCAGTGTGGTTGGGCCATACCTAGGTAGTTGGGCCTGGGCTGTATAGAGCAAGACAGAGGAAGCAAGCCAGTAAACAGTGTTCCTATATGGTCTCTGTTTCAATTCCTCCCTCCAGGCTCCTGCCTTGGCTTCTCTCAGTGATGTATTTGACTTGGGATTTGTAAGATGAAATAAATCCTTTCCTCCCCAAGTTGGTTTTGGTGAGTGTTTTATCATAGCAATAGGAAACAAACTAATATAGTCACAGGGTAAGGAGTTTATAGCATACAGCTGCTGACTCATAATGAGCTTCTTATGTGAACAATGCATAAATATTAATTGTTAAAACTATGACAATTTTGGTGACATTTGTTTCTCCCATGCAGCCCAAGTTGACTGATACGCTGGGACTGAGGAAGATTGGATAATTTGCCTGAGATCACAGGATCAATAAGTTGTAGAGTGAGGATTTGAATCCAGGAAGTCTAATTCCAGAACCTGTACTTACTACCACTCTTATGTAGGAGGAGGAATTTCCTGGCCTTTGTGTGTAGGACAGACAGGACCAGGGAGCAATTACAAAGGACAGTTAGGAACAATCTAAATATGAGGTTATGAAACTTTGGGAGAGAATGCTTATTTAAGGATCATGATTTGTGTAGAGTAGGTGCTTCCCATATAACAGTTGAGAAGGTGAATGGATGAGGTTTCCTGATCCAGGTGCCAGCAAGTGCTTCTGCCACCACCACATTCTGGGTGATAATTTTCTTTACTGTAATTCTTTGTTTTCCCCACACGTCATTGCTGGTGAGGTCCCTGAGTCACAGACAGATTCCCTGAAGATGGCTCCCTGACAGGAAGAGCTCAGCTTGTACCACCTGGCTATCGTGCGAGATCTCCAGCCAGTACTGTCGTGGTGCTTTCTGGTCTTGTCTGACTTGCTCTTTGTGGATCTGGCCCTCTCAGATGAAACTGAATTTTTTCTCATGCTGACAATGTGTTGCAGAAGATCTGGTCGCTGTCTTTTTCCTTGTCTTATTTCTCACCCTGCCTCCTGCACTTGGCAATGAGGATGACACAGGGGTTATTAAAAGATAAGGGAAATCAGATTGATTCAGGTATCCCACAATGTAAATGCATCAAAACATCATAAGGTACAGTATAAATAGATAAACTTTTAATTTTGGGGGGACTGGAGAGATGACTCAGCAGTTAAGAGCACTGGCTGCTCTTGCAGAAGACCAGGGTTCAATTCCCAGCACCCACATGGCAGCTAACAACCATCTGTAACTTCAATTCTGGGGGATCCGATGCCCTATTCTGGCCTCCTCGGGCATTGCATGTCACAGGTGCACTTAAACACATGCAAGCAGCATACTCATACAACATGTAATAAAATTAAAAAAAATTAAAACCCTTTTTATTTTTCTACTTCAAGGGGTAGGTGGGAGAAAGAAAGGAGGGAGGAAGTGGGGAGGGAGGAAGGGAGGGAGGGAGGGAGGGAGAGCAAGCAAGAGTGAGACAGAGAGAAATAGAGGTATCTTTGGTTTTACAAATGCAATTACTTTCTGACTTACTGTCATTTGAAACCAGGGAACACAAATCCACATTTCAAGTCTCTGCTGTAGGCTACCTAAATCTTCATGCAAGGAAAAGAATCAGTAAAACTAAAACCCATGATTACTCTCATTAGTTCTAAACAAGCCCTTAATATCATCAGTGGTTAGGAAAAAATATGGGAAATGGAGAAGAAATAAAGGACAGAAAATTTATAATATAGAGGAATTGGTGAGGAAGAAACAAGAGTGATAGAAGACACATCAACCTTGTTTGCATTAAAAGCACACCTTCTTATCTTCAAGATGTCCATTTAAGGGGTTGGAAGGTAGAGGAGTCAGAGGTGGTGGATGACCACAGGAAACAGAGCATTCCAGACAGCTGGGAAGTTTTTCATATGAGCTTAGTGCATTGTGCATGATGACAGCATGCACAAGACCCACACAAGCTTTAGTCAACAAAAACCCAGACTAGAAGTGGGGAAGAAGCTCCAGCCTCAGCTGAGGAACTCTTGGCAACCAGCAACTACTGGGAGATAGAGAGTCAGTTTTCTGTAAGGGTGTGACACTAGATAGGTTAGCGAGGCTCCACTGGATGGACATTTGGGGACACAAACTTGGACTTATATATGACAGAGAACATGAAATCCAGCAGGGGGGCTATAAAGAGGGGTGCAGATGGAGAAGGGTCTAAATATGATCAAAACATACTATCAGGTAATTAATTTGGACTCCCCTTATTTGGAAGTTACGTTGACACAAATTAAGATAGATTGGGAAGAATCACAACTTCATTTCTTTGTACTGGATGTATTATTTCAGATGTGCCTCACATGTCTGAACTAGTGGGGCTGCATCTTAGGCTTTTTATCGTGGTAATTTCCACGGCAACACATGATTAGTGTGAGTGTCATTATAATACTGAGTTTTCTACTGGACACATTGGGCAAGCTGAGCCCCAAAGACTTAGGCATAAACTTGTTGCCTCTGGAAGCTGTGCAGGCACAAACTATCTCAGGGCTGTGCTTCTTCTCTTCTATATTTAACAGACAAGCACGTTAAGCTGTTCAGTGCCCAGCAGCTTGTGGGCAGCTAGTGGGGAGAATGTGAAAGGCCTAGGGTGAATCATAAAAGCTGGTCTAAGGCTTCAGAGTTCTTATTTTTCCCTTTGCTCCAAACCAAGCAGCACTTTTTTGGAGAAAAATCACAAAGCTAAGACAACTGATTCAGAACTCAGAAACCCCTAACTGGCACTCACCACTGCTCAGGAATCCTATTTTTTCATCTCTAGGAGATGACTGTACCATATCATCTCCTTTTCCTCAAACCTCCCACACATCCTCCTCCCACTGATAACCTCGACTCATACTTCATTGAGAAAATAGAAATCATTGGAAATGAACTCACTCATCTTCCCACCACAAAACCTGCCAACTCAATGCTTCTGCATCAAATTCTCCATCCATGAGGGAAGTTTCTCCTCCTTCTGAGGAAGCCTTCCCCTCTTGGCTCCTGGATCTCATTACCTCTTGGCTTATTAAGGACTCTGCTCCTCATTCTCACTCTCAGCAGCAACATCTCACTGTTAGCAAATGTCCTTTTAAGAACATTTTTCATGAAACAATAAGCACTGTTTAAGTTTTTAACCCCATTCCTTCTTTATAGCCCAATTCCATACTAGCCAAACACTCTATTTCCTCATCTCCCTTCTATTCTTCAACTCGGGTCAATATGCTTCTATATCTCTGCTGCCCAGACCTCTCTTTGTGGAGGCCAAGAACAACCCCAGGTTGTCACATCTAGTGGACTCCTTCACTGGTACAGTTTCTAGACTTCTGGGCGGTGTTTGCCGAAGCAGACACTGCCAGCTTAAAGCAGGCCTGTCTTTTGTCTTCCACCTTTTCTTCTGCTTCTAAGCATCTTTATTCAGTTTTCCTCTTAAGTGCATTTCTCACAGCTTGGCTTTTTCCTCATCTTTAATCTATTTTCTTTTTAGTTATACCATGCATCCTAATGTTTTATGACCGACACTTTAATTTCTGGTGTTTTCATTGAAATTCAAACTCATAGCTCTTGTATCTTCACTTGTATAAAATGTGAGCATCATAACTCAAATGTACAGAATGGAACATTGAGTGATTTGTCCTCATTGACTTGAGAGGTTCTCCATTAAGTTGATCAAACCCAAGATTCATTATTTAAAAGAAAATTGAGATAAAATTTACACAGCATAAACTAACCATTTTAAAGTCAGGGATTCAGTTTATCTGGTTCTAAAACATTTTTGTAACTTTAATAAGACCCTGATAACTACCAGAATGTTCTCTGTGTCCATTGATTTCCTTATTTAGGATATGATGATTCATATAAATAGAATCATATAGAGTGTGATGCATTGTGTGTCTCTTTTACTAGTACACTGTGGCATTTCATTCAGATTGTAGCATGGATTAATATTGCATTCCTTTTGGTATCTGGAAAGTGTTCCACTCTATCAACAGTTTTTCCTTTGTAGCCATGAGGAAATGGTTTCAGGACACCCTTGAAGATATAAAATCTGCACTATGTAAGCTTCTTATATAAAATGATACATTACTTGCATATAACCTGGGTACAGCCTCCTGCATGCTTATATCACCACCAGATTATTTATAATACCTCCTGCAAGGCAGATCTTATGAACAGTTGTCATACTGCATTGATTAAAGAACAGTGACAAGAAAAACACTTGCACATGCTCAGTAGAGATGCAACATTTTCTGAGTATTTTAAATCTGTAGTTGGTTTGGTCTGAGGATGTGGAATCCATGAGCATGCAGACAACTGTACACAACACACTTTATTTGTCCATTCATACAGAGATGAGATTCAGATTGTTTAAATCTTTTGGATATTTTTTTTCCATTTTTTAAAAATTATTTATTTAATAACCATATACATAGAATAGAGATGCAACATTTTCTGAGTATTTTAAATCTGTAGTTGGTTTGGTCTGAGGATGTGGA